AGTAAAAAGGTATGATGTGATAGGTAGGGTATGAAAAAGTAAGGGGTAAAAGGGGTTTTTTAAAGGAAAAGAGAAGTTTATTTAGGGACAAGGAAAAAACGAAAGAGGAACTTTATTTAGGGACGGAGGGAGTATCTCTCATGTCAAGTTCTCGATCTCCTCTGGAATCTGATGTATGGTTGGAGGTGGGGCAGCGAGAAAACATAGGAAAAATGTTTATGGAGGTAGTTATGGGTAGAAACAATCAATTTTACGATTGAGCTTGTAGAGTCTTTATATTGTTGTTCTTCTCTTTCATGTTAAGGTTTCGGCCTCAAAACAAGGATGTAAATGAACTCCTAATAATAGTGATCTCTCTTTCTTATAATGTCTTCAATATATTATCGTTTCATTAATTCACTACGTACTTTAATGTAGTATCATGGTTGAAAACCACAATCATTATTAATCTTTTCTCTAATTGTGACCTCACTTTCCTATCTTGTCATCTAATTTTGCCTCCTAAATTACCTACTTACTTTACTTGGTTGTCACTCATTTGAAAGCCACAATCGTTATTAATCTTTTCTCTCATTCCAAGTTCTCTATCTCCTCAAACTTATATATAAACCAACTACTAACAGTGATCTCACTCTCTCGTTTTCGTATCTATCATCGTCTTATTATTTTACTGCATACTTTATCTTATCGTCACTTGAAAACTCTTGTTAGCTTGATCTTCTCTCTCATGTAGTCGTGTCAGGTTCTCGATCTTCTCAAACTTCTGATGTAAATCAACCACTAACAGTAATCTCGCTTTCCCATCTTGTCATATCTTGTCGCCTCGTTAATTAAGTACTTTTTTTAATTGTCTATCACGTGTTTGAAGACCACAATCATTGTTAATCTTCTCCCTCATGTCAACTTATCGATCTCTTTAAAACTATGATTAAACCCACAAATAATAGTGATCTTCTCTCTCACGTCAGGTTCTCGATCTCCTCAATGTTCTGATGTAAATCAACCACTAACAGTAATCTTGCTTTCCTATCTTGTCATAGGTTGTCGCCTCATTAATTTAGTACTTTCCTTACTTGTCTTTTACGTGTTTAAAAACCATAATCATTGTTGATCTTAAAACTCATGTAGAGTTATAGATTTTCTTAAAACTCATATTAAACCCACGACTAACAGTGTTGTTCGTTTCCTATCTTGTCATCTGTAATCATCATTGTCTCATTATTTTACTATGTACTTTACTTCATCATCACTCGTTTGAAAACTATTAACATTGTTGCGTTGATCTTCTCTCTCGTGTCAAGTTCTCGATCTAAGTTCTGATGTAAATCAACCACTAACACTAATCTCACTTTCCAATCTTGTCATATGTTGTCACCTCATTAAGTACTTTCTTTACTTTCCTGTCACGTGTTTAAAAACCACGATCAGTATTGATCTTTTCTCTCATGTCAGGTTATCGATCTCCTTAAACTCATATTAAACCCACCATTAACAGTGTTGTTCGTTTCCTATCTTGTCATCTATACTCCTCTTCATCTCATTGTTTTACTATGTACTTTACTAGATCGTCGACCGTTTAAAAACTATTACCACTATTGATCTTCTCTCTCATGTGAGATACTCGGTCTCCTCAAAATTCTGATGTAAATCGACCACTAACAGTAATCTCACTTTCCAATCTTGTCAAATATTGTTGCCTACTTGTCTGTCACGTGTTTGAAAACTACAATCACTGTTGATCTTCTCTCTCATGTCAAGTTATCGATCGCGATCTCCTTAAAACACCGATTAAACCCACACTAACAGTGATCTTTTTCCCAACCTGGTCATCGATTTATAATCATCATCGTCTCATTATTTTACTATGTACGTACTTTACTTGTTTGTCGCCCATTAAAACTAAACCCATTATCTTCTCTCTCGTATTAGGTTCTCGATCTCCTCAAAGCTCTGTAATAAATTAACCACTGACAGTGATCCCGCTTTCCTATTTTGTCATCTACCTGTCGCTCTTTAAATAAACTAACCACTTACTTTACTTAACGGTCACTCGACTCATAATCAATTACTATACACAGTTGATTTTTATTGATCTCCCACGTCAAGATCTCAATAATTGACCATTTACTTTTCTGTCCCTCGGCTCTTAGTCATTTACACAGTCGATTTTCTTTGATCCCTCGCGTCAAGTTATCGATTGATCTGCACCCGCACATCGATGGCGTGTCATCTTCAGATTATATTGAACTTCCCACACACCAGTTAATTTAATGAGTAACTTTGGAAATAACAAACAAAATATTACAAATTTCATCCCAAAAATTTCAAAATCAAGGATATACATTAAACTTATTTCCTACTTTATCTTCTTTGAGCACCACCATATATTAGGTCATATTATTCCTTCTATCGGTTCATTCTCATCAAGATTTTGTCCAAATGGAGCAAAAGTGCCTTATGCAAGCTAAGAAATAACCTAGGCAATAACGGTGTGATTAGTACGGAGTATAATTGAGAAATTATTTTTATATTTTTCATGCACTTGGTGACTTAACCCCATAATCGCCACGTGGATATTCTATTTGTTCTTCATTCACCTTCAGTTCTACATCTTCACGTAAAATATATACTAATATTTTAGTTTTTGAGGGAAAATAAATACTCCCCCGTCCTAAAACTTTCTTCTCCGTTGCGCAAAATGAAGAAAAATCTCAAGTTTTTTCAATCTATTTTATTTAAATATTGGAATAGAAATAAAAAATAAAACATACATATTTAAAAACTACATCAAAAGTTCAACAAAACAAGTGGTGACAAGAATATTTTATTTTATCATATAGGCCATGAAAAAACACAAATAAATATAAATACTCGTGAAGTTGGAATAGTGCTCTGGGAAGAAAGTTTTAGGACGGAGGAAGTACTAAATTTGTTGTTAATATATAATTTATTATTTTGGGAGTGACTATATATAAATGCACCCCACCCAAACACTGCCTTAAACATCTTATATTCCTAATTCCATCCCAAATTAAGTAAACAAATAAAGTTGCATTTGGTACGGTGGCCGGCGGCGATGGGTCTTTTTAAAAAGATCACTTTTCTCATTTTCCGTCAAGGCGGAGACCGCCGGGAAAAACTCATCGAGATGACGAAACCGCTGGAGGTAGCTCCTTTTGGATATTTTTTCTTCCCTTCACTATTAAATGTTCATTATATTCTTTTCTTTGTTTAAATCATCCTTACAAAAGTTTTAATTTTGAAAACGGTCCTTGAACTTAATTTTAATTTGTTGAGATAATTAACACATATATTTCATACTCAACATTCTAATGTTGCATTCTGATTGCCGCAAACACAGTTCCCGTGCCCTAAATTGTGTGCTTCATCGAATTATATTCTCAAGATTATAATGTTAAGTATGAAATAAATATGTTATCTCAACTAATTGGAAATTAACTAATTGGAAATTCTAATTACGTTCACGGGTCATTTAAGAAAATTATATTTTTTTTATAAGGATGATTTAAACCAAAACAAATTACGACAAAAAAATCACCTATTTTACAAAGACAAAAAACATATTTAACTCTAAAATAAAAATAATTGTTTTAAATAATGGTTAATTGAAATTATTTACAATTTCATTCGTTTGAATATTGATGAAAATAAATGAATCTATACGTCATACGGAGTGTGTGTGTGTGTGTCTATATATATATATATATATATATATATATATATATATATATATATATATATATATATATATTAGAATAAGACTAGAAATATAACTAAAATCAGATCAAACCTAATCTGATCAGATTAAATCTTAATAAAATCAGATTAGATCTAATGACGAAAGGAATTAATAACACACGTCCCACCATTCAAGTTTTAAATTTGGAACCCAAAAAGAAAACATATGCCCCATCATTAATGTTCTAATTCTGTATTCTTTAATCTCCTCTTTAAATATACCTTTTGAATAATTGACGATCAAAATTTATAAACCTTGATTCCAAAACTCAAAGTGCTAACGACTCGAGACAGTGGATCTGTCTCGGGCTAAATGAAGTATTTCATGCTAAAGTCATGCTTAGTCCATAAAAATCCGCCCGTAAAATAATGAGTTTGGCCCGCAAAGTTAAAGGCATGGCTTGGACATAATGTTCAGATCGTGGGCCCGAGTCTCGACTTAGCTCGACCCGACTCAATATAATAATAATAATAATAATAATAATAATAATAATAATAATAATAACAACAACAACAATAACAATAACAATAACAATAATAATAAGGCCATGTTCTCTTCAACTTAATCTTAATATTTATTTCTTTTACTTATTAGAATCAGTTCAGATCAAACTAGATTAGACCAGATCAAAATCATATTAGAACTTATTCCAATCAAATCAGAACAATTCAGATCATGTGAAGAGAACATGGCCTAATAATAATAATAATTATTATTATAATTAATGATAATAATAATGAAGATGATGATGGTCATGATGATGATGATGATAATAACAACAATAGTAATAATAAAAAAAGGTAATGCTATTTATTATACAAACGTGTGTATTCTTCTAAAAAGAAAAAGAATTATAATAATCTTTTGTCACACAAATATACTCCCACCGTTTCACAAAATATTTCCTCTTTTACTTTTTTCTCTACCCTCACAACATTTCCACATTTCATTAAAAAGACACTTTTGCCTCTGCTAATTATTACCATACGTTTTACATAATCTCGCTCACTATTATTCTACTCATCGTATCCAAGAACAAAATTGAAAAGTCAATTTTAAAATACACCCTCTTTGAATTTGCCAGAAGTGAAGACGAAACTCTTTTTTTAAGGGAGGGAGTATATATTTTTATCATTGTTCATGGGATATTTAAATAATAAACTTCAATTAAATGATAATGAAAGTATTAGATAAAACATCGTACATACATAAATCGTTCCTTTGATAGTGTATTCGTCATAATTATTTTATCTACCCTCTAATATATTACCGGAGTACTTCGTAAGACATTACGGTATTTAAATAATTTATTTTTAATTGTTTACAAAATATTTGAACGTGAGTCGAACCAGCCCGAGAAGCCTGCATGTACTGGTACGGGCTGGGCTTGGACTTCAATTATTAAGCCGCGATGCGCACCGGGCCAGGCTCGAGGCTAAGAAATTCTCATAATATAGCCTCTGGCCCGAACTTTGATGGTCGAGGTCTAAATATTACTCGGTTTTGAAAATAGACGGTGGAGATGAAGGTGGAGATGGATTGCAGTGTGTGCAAGCGGAGGGCAAGAAGGACAATGCAGAAAATGAAAGGTGTGGTATATGTCGATGTCGATGCAGACCAGCTGAAGGTGACGGTGATGGGGTACGTGGACCCCGAAAAGGTTTTGGACAAGATGAGGCGTACGACGGGGATGAAGGCAGAGTACTGGCGGCCAGAGACGGCGGGGAACCGCATGCCCGTCAACGGCAACAATCCAACGGGCTCAACCCTTGCATATGCAAATTCTTCTGATTTCATGGCAGTCACAACCTTTAGTGATGAGAACCCTAATGCTTGTGCAACAATGTGATATGTATAAATGTTAGGGGGAGAAAATAAGTTAAGGTTTTAATAATCATATGTATGGCAGTATCATAATGTAAGATTATATCCCAATAAAGTGACATTTTGATCCTGTGCATATTGTGTTTGAACCCATCATGAGTATGGTAGAATCATAATGAAACATTTATTTTTTGTATAAATATATTTATTAACAATTAAAGAGTTATATTGAACTCTGTTAACAGACAAATAGAAAAACTAAATTGTAATTTGGGGGACAGAATAAGAAATTCAATTTTGTAGTAGCAGATAATTCTACTACAAGTTGATTCCAATGCATTCTTTCACTATGCCAAACATCACCTAAGATTTCTCTCAAGTATGGAGTAGATAAAACTTACGGTAATTCCAGAAATACCCATCCCATTCTACAATACCAAACAGATCCTATCCATTATATAGTGGAAATTAGAAAAAATAGAGAGGAATTTGAGTATACAAATGCAGGAAAAGTAAAAGCAACATAAACTGTGCAAATTTGTTTCCCTAAAATGTTTTGAGCCAATACAGAAATTAAAGCAAATCAAAATGGAGGCCTACACAATATTGCAGCTGGGACCCTAAAACCGGAGCCCGGCCAGATGACATTAGAGCCCCTTACCCTTACTCTGGAATGAAGGGTACAAAAGAGAACAGCAGTGGTAAGTCATATATCTCCAGCAAATCACAATATAGAACAAGCCTTCTGGCCCTTGCCCTTCCTTTTCTTCTGCTTCGGGGGCGCCAGCACGACTTTTATGGCAGCATCAAATACTGCTTTTACATTCTGCAACCATTTATACCAACACATAAAACCATGTCCGCAATTAGAGCTGGCAAACAATCTGGTCAGGTCAGGTTTAGGCCCGGTTGGATTGAACCCACTTTTAGTGGGTCATTTTGAGTTCGGTTAACAAAACCTTTTGTTCGAAACCTAGTACTTTTGGGTCGGGTCAAATTTTGTCATGTCTATCTACAATGCGTGGAGCAATGTTTTGTAGAGGCGGTAGTCGCCAGATGGCCACATGGTGTCACCAACAAATTGGCTAAGCATTTTAATAAGGTTGCTTAGGATTTCAAAGTGTACCCCCGTTAGATACAGTATTCTAATTCAATGTAAGGAATTATTACAATTCAATTATTATGAGGTCAAAGACTAAAGGATTTGTGAAGGACATTATAGCCAAAAAATATTTAAAAATAAAACATAAAACTGACCAAGGACCACAGTAGAAACATTAATGCGGCTCACCATTTTTTGCAGCCGGTTTAGCTAAAATTGAGGTGCCCAACTTCTGCCTAAGCCACCTTTTTTAGGGCACTGCCATGGAGGCATTATTTGGGAATTTAACAAGAAGTCAGGGATTAAGAGATTCTCAAGAAACCCCGATTCATGACATGCACCTTGTGGTTTGATGGTATCTTACTTTCCGGAGGGAAGAAGGTATGTTAGACAAATATGGTCAGTGGCATGTTGACCCAATACTATATATGTATCAGTACCCACGAAAAAAGAGATAGAAATAAAAACAAAGTTCAAAAATTGATAGATTAACAAGCCCCCCACATTCAAAACCAAACATACACATTATATCCCACTCATGAGTAGGGTCTGGGGTCAAGATGTACGCAAATATTACCCATTCTCAAATGAGTGGAGAGACTGTTTCTAAGACGACCCCCGACAAATAGAGAGATGTAGTGTGGGAAGTGGGAAAAAGAACCACCTAATATGACCAAACAACAAAGAACTAGATGAGCATGTAGTCACACACATAACCCCTCCATATATCATGATAGATTTTGCCCAGTAGACATGAAAATCAGTGAACTCTCATCATTCAAAAACACAGCCACATTTAATTATCGGTCATTCAATTCCCAATAATTTGGCTTTAACATGGCCAAATCATTCCAAACATGGCCAAAGATCTTTGATAATGAGATTAAGTATAATTCTAGAACAATACAAACCTCCTGTGTTTTTGAACTGCACTCAACATAAGAAGGTGCACCAATCATTTTCCTTAGCTCCTCTCCCTGGATTCAGAGACGAATCAATCAACATTAAAAGAGAAAAAGTTCATCCGAAAGTACCCATTCTTCTTTCAATATATTAACAAAAAGAACTGCAATAGCAGTTTTGGTCACACCTGAGCAGTGGTAATTGGTACGGCACCAGGATGATCAACAAAAAACTGCTTGTCCTCCCGAAGGTCTGAGTTCATTATAAAGGTAAATTTAATTATTTGATGATGAATACAAGAATTACAGAAACCTAGCATTGAACTATGACATGCTAACAAGTGATTGTAAGCATGTCTAGATACAACAACAACCGAATAAGGTCCATCTAATGACAAACGATGATAGATTACAAATCCATTTAGGTTCATGTGTAACCATAGATAATAGAACAATGCACTCAATGAATCTTCCCATTATAAAGTGTTAAGGGTTTGAATTCTCACCAAGTTTTGTTCCAACAAGAACAATAGGCACGCCAGGAGCATAATGCTTCAACTCTGGAATCCACTGGCCATAGATTGATCAAAACTACGATAAGTCCACCAAAAAACTGAAAATATTGAATAGAACTGTGTATAGCAATCAAATCCCAACCTTTTTGGAAACATTTTCATAGCTAGCTTTACTAATGAGAGAAAATGCCAAAATAAAAACATCAGCTCCGCGGTAACTCAGAGGTCTTAGTCTGTTATAATCCTCTTGTCCTGTATTATTACATAAAATTAAAGAAATTAATAGGGTCAATTGATTAAATATGTTTTTCAGCCATGAAAGTATAGCATTTTTGTTTTAGATCACTAAAAAGATTACTCCCAGTAATTTATCATTTTTCTTTTTAGTCTATCCATGTCAACTTCAAAAACAATGATGTGCATCACATAACTTCACTCTAGACTTTCCACAAAATTTTTTCTTGACTATGTTTTTGGTCCACAAAAATATAGCACTTTTAATAGGAAGTACTCAAGTATGGAATTTCCACACTATATTTGAAGGGAAGAAAACATATTGAAGACTTTTAAAATTTGAAGTTAAGGACTTGAATGCAGTGAGCCACATGAGTGTCTTTAAACAAATGGTGGCATGGAGGGCTAAAAGAGAATACGGCAAACTGCAGTGATGAATAACAGAGAAACAATAAAAGGAACCTAAATAGAACAGATGTTATAATTGCAGAGCCAAAAAACATTCTTAAATCCATACAACAAAACCTGTAAAGGGCAGAGCCCTTGGTGTCCCAAGTTTAACTAGTTTATGAATACTATCAATGGAATTAGGAATAGTTACCGGCGGTATCCCACAACCCAAGGTTAACAGTATTCCCATTGACAACAACATTGGCACTGAAATTGTCGAAAACAGTGGGAACATAATCCTGTTGCACGTAGGAAAATAATAAGTTATAAAATGGCATAAAAGTTATAAATTCTTAACATAGAGCCAAACTCAAACATACACTTAAGAATCTGACAATCATTATCAGCAAGTTCCGTATTAAAATATAAAGGAAAGAAACAAGATGAGAAATTTAACGTACATGCATATGCAACTCCCCAGAACAGCATTCCAATGCAACACAGTTTATAGTAACAAAATATCAAGAGTAAACTTTTTTTCAGAAATTCAATAATCTAGACTTGATCAATGTGATAAACCAAAAGTTTGCCATTTCAACCCTTGGACAATACTAGGGTCACATTCCAAGTACTCTTTTAATTGAAATAGCTCCATGAGGAGGTTCAGAAAACAGATACTGTAGATTGTAGGAGGGCCTTCTCTTTTTTGTTTCACACATCAGAAGCATAACCTCAAATCATGAATGGTTGAGATATTGACTGATAGTCATCAATGCTGGTGCTTTAACAGCAACGGAGCTCTCACAGAAATTATATCACAGGAACCAAATACTTCGGCATCCAAAGATGGAAATTCGGGGAATGTTCTCAAAACCAAACAGGAGCAGCAAATTTACAAACAAAACAAAGCAAAACAAAACGAAATGTATCCAAGAACAGGCAGTGATGAATTTCCCCATCAAACAAATTAAACAAAACAATTTGGAAAACAGATCAAAGGAATCAGACAAACCGTGGGGAAGGTGTTGCTGGTGTAAGAAATCAGGAGGCAGGTCTTGCCAACCGCACCATCACCCACAGTCACGCACTTGATGAATCTGGAAGCGCTCATTATGAGAGAAAATTAAAAAAAAAAAAGCCTCAGATCCTCCTCTTCCTCAGAAGACCTGATTTCCGGGATCAAAATGCGCCCGCACTCGCTTCTCTACACCAGCTCTTTCCCACCACCGAAGAATCGCAGCAAAGAAAGAAGAACCCTAACCCTAATTATTCACAGGCAAAACAATGGAGAACACACATTGATCGGAAAAATCAGTAATGGGGAGATCAAAGAATAGAATGAAATGATGGGGAAAATAGAGAAGGATTTGAGATCCGAGATCGGGAAACGGAGTCTCTGCACATACCTTATTTTCCGGCGAGAAACAATGCCTTTGAATGGCTGGGCTCCTCGATGAAGACGGATGATAAACGACCGATCCAACAACCAAAATCTCTCTCTCTGCAACGCCACAAGAAAAGCTCTTTTCTTTCCCCATTTCTCGACGCTTTTCTCTCAACATTAAGAAGACATGTGGGCCACGAATTAGACACGACGGCCCAATCCGAACAAATGTGACAAAGTGCTTTCACGTTTATACTTTAGACAATTGTTGTTTTTATTTGAAACCCCTTAAGGCGGGGATGAGTGACAACACAGACATGGTTGAATGTGATAGCGGCAGTCGGTTGTGAGGTGGTCGTCTTAAGGCGGGATGATTGATAACGGACATAGTTGACTATGATAGTGGTAGTCGGTTGTGAGGTGATCGACTATTGAGCAAGATATCAAACTCTTAAGGTGGGATGACTGAAAACGGACGTGGTTGACTGTGATAGTGATAATCGGTTGTGGGGGTGATTGATTGTTGAGTAAGATATCAAACTCTTACTTTTCATATATCCCAAAAACAAACAAGAGATATCAAAATTTCTCATTTGAAGGCTTTGTGGTATGTAGAGATATTCAAAGCATATTCTGTTTCATTATATTTGGTTCAAGAAATTTGAAGGAAAAATAAGAGAAAATGATATGGAAATAATTGGTGTTGTTTGGTCAGAGAGGAAAAGAAAAAAATGGAAAGAAGAGTGATGA